GCATGTGGTTGGTCGGGCGTGCTAGTCCAACCTGGCATTGATCAAACTGAACATGTGCCAAACCATCGAAGGCCTCCTCAATCTCTGGAGTCTTCCAAGCCTTGGACGTGGCAGGATTCTCGCCGAAGACCAGGCCGCCCCTCCGACGTTGCCAAGGAGCAGCAGCTGACCTTTGGTCAAGTTCCGTGAGGCCGGTTGCGAGAGCGTCTTCAAAGCGGTCAGGTTCTCCCTCGGAATCTGACGTGCTCTCATCAGCTGATGATGGTCCATCTTCGTGGGAAGACTCAGATTGGCCTGATGAGAACGAGCCATGGCTGTCTGAGTCCGTACTGTCATCCTGGGGCTCCGCCTCCTTGATGGGGACCTTGTGCACGATCTGGTCCAAACCACTGATGGCCTCATCTTCCATGTGGCTCTGCAACAGAGCAAGATCTTCAAGATCTGGTTCTGGCTCAGCCAGGGAGTAGAAAGACACCTCAGAATCATCTGAAGACGTCGCCTCCTGCTTGGAGGGGGAAAGCTCATCTTGGCTCTGCCAAAGCGCCAGCTTGTGTGGATCTGCTCGTGGGACAGCTCGAAGTTCTCGAAGTTCGGAGGTGTTCCAGTCCTCTGCCTTGCCATCTCCAAGAATCTCGAGAACGGGGTGTCGAGTTGGTGAGAGCTCCGTAGGTGTGCTGCAGCCATCGATCACCGTCATGCCGTTGGCGAAGTCCATAGTGACCTTCCAGCGAGCTAGCTCTGAAGGTCCAACCAGTGCCGGGCAATTTGAAATCCGGGGATCTTGCTTGGTGTCGTCCACCAAAGCGACTCTCAGCCACGATCGGATGCCAGTGCCTCCCAGAACCACTGGATAGAGACCGGCTTCTGTCGACAAAACTGGGGCTCCAGCTCCGAAGCGGAAGGTCTCCTCGTGCTCCAGCACTTCATAGGGGGGTCTCGCTGGTCCAGGGCCTGGCGCATCTTCACATGCCACTTTCCACCAGCAACTGCAGCGCGGCATCCGCTGTCCAAGATCACTTTATGGGCTGCGTGCTCCAGCATCCAGGCATCCATGGGATCCTCCTCCAAGACCGTCTCGGCGGTGAGTGCACCATGGTCCATGCTGTAATAGAGCACCTTCTTCAACTTGCAAGCCTTGCAAGACGCCCCATGAGCGGCACCGTTTGCGCCCCACCTCAAGCTCTGCCACGGGTGAGAGCACTTCTCCTGCTCTGGAGTCGGCAGCTCTGATGCCTCAGAAGGTCGAACTCGCCCTTTTCGATCCAAGGCGCCATCATAGAGGTCCTTCCTGAAATGCTTGAGACGCTTCCGTCGAACTGGCTCAGGAAGATCACTTGTCGAAGCTGGTTCCGGTGCCGGGGTGGTCGACGAACTTGCTGCCTTACAGCCTCCATCATGCCGCTTGTCTGTTCTCTTCAGCTTCTCGGCCGTCTGATGCTGATCCAAGTAGCGGGCAGCTTCACGATCTCTTTCTGCCTTTAACTCCTTGTACAGCCTCCTCTTCTCATCCTTTGACATGTACGGGAGGATCTCCAGCATATCGGCCGGTGCGAGGTCGGTTTCCATTGCCACAGGTTTTGAGCCCTTTGCTTTGCTCTTTGCTTTTGCCAGCTCTTTCTCCTTCTCTTGCAACTGCTCCTGCTTCTTCAGCAGCTTCTTCTTCAACTTGAGATCAGACTCATCAACTTCTTCAGCCAAGGCGGAAACCACTGTACGGAGAGCTGCTTTATATTTGGAAGCCTTCTTCTGAGCAGATGCTTCTTCGGACGATCTGCCGGCACTGAATCCAAGAGGCTCTTCTGGCTCTGAACTGCTGCTGGGTGAAGAGACGGCTGAACTGGAATCTGAGGAATAGGCCTTGGTGCGATGCCAACCCTCCATGAACGTCCAGTTCACCTTGTGCACATGGAGCCCTTTTGTGCTCCAGGTGTGCTTGCCACCGTCATCATCCTCTTGCTTGGCCTCTTCTTTCACTCTTGTGCCGCAGCCGCGTGCTGTGGGCGAAGTGTCGGTGGTGAAGTTGACCTGCGACTTCGAAGGATCATCACGTGGAGGGTCAGTCCCATTCTTCACATTTGGACATTCAGGGTCACCATGCCAGTGTCCAATCTGTTTGCATGATGCGCACTTGGACTTGGCCTTCCGCTGATCCTTTGCGCGGTACTCAACGAACCTGCCACCACCTTTCTTGCCCTTCTTGCCTTTGCCCTCGGATTTGGCGTCACTGTAGCCACGTGCTTTGCGAGCTTCTGCGGATTTCTGCTTGGCACGCCATCCTGCAGCATAGGCTTCTCTCAAATCCATGCCTTCATCATCCCAATCCCAGTCGCCTTCTTCATCTTCGTCATCCCAGTAGTAGTCCTGTTGGTAGGCCTCCTGCTCCAGGTCTTCATTATCAGCTTCTTCGTCTTCATTTTCGTAGTAGGCCTCATCATCACCTTCTTCCTCTGGGATGCCCTCCTCGTCATCGTCCCAGTCCGGCTCCTCCTTGACATTGGCTAGATGTGCACGAGAGGATCGGTGAGGCTTCGGGCGATTTGACTTGGAAGTCGATGAAGTCTTCCACCTGCGGGGATGATGGTGCTTGTCCTGAGGGCGGTACTTGGCCTCGTCGAGGTGGACATTCGAGCATCGGAACCTGAGAACTTTCTCGATGGCATTGGATGCATACTTGCCGCCAGCACTGTAGAAGATGTCCATCCGCTCCTTCTTGGTGAGGGAAGCACGGGATAGCATTCTCTGGGCAAAGCTCTTGTCCGACAGCGTGGTGCCTGTGTCTTCTGCCAGATACTCTGTTCGAAGTCTCTTCAAGGTGCTGATGTAGGAAGCGACGCTCTGACCTGGAGCACGGCGATACGTCAAGTAAGCTTCCTGGCGCTCTTCGAAGCGTTCATCGGATCTGGCACCATCGGATTCTTCGAGCAGCCGCATGACTCTGTTGAGTCCTCCTGGCTCCCTCATCTCGGAGACTTGAAGTTGATTCAGGATTTGACGCGGCTCTCCCTGGCATGAAAGGTAGATTAACATGGGCTGTAGGTGCGCTCGAACCTGATGCTCTGGATGATGTGCGATTCGAAGCAGCCGGAGTTGATGTCACATTGGACGAAGTCGGATCCGATGACGGCGGAGCTGGTGGTGGTCGCAGACGTGGATCACGAGGGTTCCTCTGATACTGCCTCGGGCCACGGCTGTCATCAGTGAGATTGGACGGCGTCACTGGCGGATCTTCTTCAAATCCTTCTGACTCTTCACTCTCCTCCTGCTCCTCGTAGGTGTACTCGGAGTACTCCTCCTCATCATCATCTTCTCCAGGCGGATCAGGGTTCGGAGGCGCTGCCTTGGACTTCTTCGAAGGAGTCTGTGAGTCATCACGGCCGGATGGACGAGGGTCTTCATCTTGGCGTTCCTTCTTCTCCTTCTTATCCTTCTTTTCCTTCTTGTCACCCTTCTCCCCCTTCTCAGCAGCTGCAGGTCGAGGTGGTGTCTTCGTCCTCTGCTCCTTCGACTGCTCCTTCACTCGCTCCTTGTCTGAGCGATCCTTCTTCTTGTCCTTGGCGCTGCGGTCTGACTTGTCCCTGCCATCCTTCTTGTCTTTGGTTTCCTTCTTCTCTTTCTTCTCCTTCCTCGCTGCTTCCTTTGGGGCTGCCTTGGCACGAAGTCCATGTCCTTCTGGGAGTGGAACTCCTACTGAACGGTGTTGTGACGGGTGCTCCAAAGTAGATGCAGTCGAGTGAGGAGGACCTTTCTCCCGACCTTTTGCCTGTTCAGCTTCTCGTCGAGGAAGGTGCCATGATCCGTCCATGGATGATGGCTCATAGGACAGCCATTGAGCTCCGGTCCAGAACATCCAAATGCCCGTTTGAGGTGATTGGTACCAGCCAGGTACCTGACTTGACCATCCGGCCACAGCTGACCATTGTCCGAAGATCTGGTTCCATCGGTTCTCATCGAGCACCTCGTAGGCATCGTCCATGGTGTAGGGATGTCGGCCTCGTCCAGCTCCAGCGCCTTTGTCCTTGCCCTTCGAACTCTTGCCTCCAAGACCTTTCCCTTTGTGTCTTGGTGACCGCGGTAGTTCAGGGCGAGCTCGTCCGCGGCCTCGACCTCGATGTGTGGAGCGTCCACGCTCTTCACGGGCTCTGCCGCGAGGTTCAGTGGCTCGGCCACTGGCTGGGGCGCTGCCCTCTTCTGTCGCCGCTGGCGGGGTGGCTCGGCCACCAGGAGTCTCAGCTCCGTCCCATGAGGGAACAGGGATGGTGTCGGCCGTAGTTGCCATCCCTGACCCTAGGTGCGGCACAGCACCTGCCCACCGGTATTCGGTAGGCTCCGCTACCAATGCGGAGATGAATTGGGCTCTAAGTAGAAAGCTAAAGCAAAAGCGCGGCTTTTTGCTGCATGCGCTTGATCAAGCTAGCGAGCGGAACCGAACATGCCACCAACAACCGGCAAGTACCAGCAACTGCCATCTTCCACAGCTTGTGCTGGTTACATATCTACTGTATGTAGCAGTGTTGTCTCATTTGGTTGAGGCGGACTAGCGTGGAGAAGATTTGACGGGACCACCCTTCCATCAAGAACTGTCTGAGGACAAGAATCATCAGCTCTCTCCCTCCTGTATGAGTGTTTTGCTTACAGTAATTTTTGCGAACTCAGGGCTCTCAGTAAGGCCCAAACATCCCGCACTCGGCATGTCCTAGCAAATCGCCCAAGCACCGCGACATATTGAGGCCTGGTGGTTGCCGGAAAGGTGCAAGAAAAGGACGTGAGGCTCCCTCAATGCGAGGATTCAGATAGATAGCGCCTATCTAACGGACAGCGGAAGAATAGTGTGACTAGGCAAGTATTCTAGTGCTCTAGCCCTTCAAGATTTGAGGAGGTACGCAAGCGCAGGTGACCCAAATCGAACAAAAAGATCTGCTTTTAAAACTTTTAGACCATTGGATCAATTTGTTATCTATACATGCGTATCAAACAACTTGTGCGATGGATTTTGGCAAGCTTTACGAATTTAAGATCTGTTCCTGTTCACTTTTACAAAGTCCAGCCTGGCCTGGATAGCGAGCATTTTTCGCATAGACACGGTAATTGGCATAACCGTCAAAGACCACACGGCCACCTGACTTCTCGATGCGAGCCTTCTCATCCTGGCGAGGTGGCAGAATCTGGCTGGATCATTTGCCCTTATAACGATGGCTAATAATATCGAGTCTCAGCTTGTCACACCTGTCAGCGTGCAATCAAACAACCTTGAGCCCGCAACCAGTGCTTGTTCACACAGTTTCAACAAATCTATCAGGAAGAAACAAGATCTGAGTACCAGAACATGGCAGTCACCCAGTATCACAAGGCTTAGCAACTAACATGGTTGTCTTCTGAACCTCTCCTTGAGGTTGGGCTTGTGGTCTCTGGTCAAAGCCACGCCATTCCAGGTCCCACCATGGTTGGACCCCAGAGCGGCGGTGCTGTCTGCCACATGGCCAATGGTCACTGAATTGTCTGCATGATCATGGATGGCCACCTTGGTGAGCACAAAACACCATCTGAAATCTAAGACTTGCAAAAGCCACAAGAGAGCCAGAAGAGAGTCAAGACTCTGCAGCTGCTGGAATGCTTATTCACTGTTGAGCAGGCTGTTCTCTCTGTCTGTCAAGCTAAGCTTCCAGCCGTGGCAGTGGTGCCGGACATTTGGGCTTGGAGGGCTTTTCCCTTATCAGAGACCGTGATGAAGTTCTGCGTCTTCTTGAAGGCCTCGATCAAAATCGGACCCCAATCCCTGGTAGTGAAACAACGCTCGTCTTTAATGATGCACTTCGGCAGCATGTCCATCGCGAAGTTGGAGACGTCGTGGCCCTTCTGACCATGCCCGTCAAAAACACCATAGAGGGAAAAGCTGTCCATCTTTAGCACGAACCAGGAATCCTGCAAAGAAACGGTTCAAGAAAACTCGGTGCACCCTTGCTCAATGGTCATTCCAACTTACTCTGTGGACCCTACAAACCAAAACGAATATCCTCTCGATAAAAGGTGCGACAAAAAGCAAGGTCAAGCGACGAATCTCTTCCCCCGCCTGGTTTGGGCTTTCCGGCTTCAAGCCCTTTCGGCACGTGAAACCGATTCCGCACTTCGCCAAGTCGACATCTTGGTCCCCAAACTTCTGCCTGAAACAACATCCGCTTGCCAACACGCTACCTTGAGACACTACCAAAACTACCAAGCTAAAGCTATGAAAACTGTGCACGTCCATGTGGCTCTGTGCGAAGATGCTTCTTTCCTGGTTACAAATATTCTTCAAGCGTCTCTTTCCCAAAGCATGGCTGGAATAAACGCTTTACCAACTGTTTTTCACAGTGAGCAGGAGGTTCTTCCGTTTATGCACCCAAATTCTGAATAGACCCTGAAGATCCTGAAGTGCCTGAAGGGAGGACCAAACGAGGGAAGGATCGGATGAGAGGGTTTTAAAAAAAATGCAGAATGTGCATCTGACTCATACTGTCTAACTGTGGCTGACACCACAGCCTCTTTGAAGCAGTTGGGTTTGCACCACAACTGGGAACCCCACAGATTGAAAAATGACCCTGAAACATGGCAACGAGAGTGTGTGCGTGTGTGCATGTGTGTGTGTGTGTGTCAGTCTGTTAGATTTCACCGAGTTGCATCGTTTTGTTGGCAAAGGATGTGGTGCCCTTGTCTGTCTTAGAGCTAAGACTAACCCTGCGGCCACTCTTGCCCTTTCCGGTATCAGCATCTGAGACCATCTCGATGAGGTTATTCTTGCCTAGGATCTTCAATCAGCAAGCGAAACAAGACTGTGTATGCGACATGTTGACAAGTTCAAGTGTTGACCTATATATCCACCGACCTTTGCGGAGGCGGAGCGCCCAAGAAGCTATGGAGCGCGTGGCCAACTTTATGCCTTGTGGTTGGCTGTCAACACATTGCAACATGCTTGAAAGCGAAGACATTGCAGATGCCTGCTGCCGGTAGGCTGCCAGTTGTCTTTATGCTAGAGGAACTGACGACATTGTTTTCTTTACTCAGGTCCACAAACAACCTTAGGCACGGAGCAGTGGCTTGGCATGTTCGTTCTAATACGCAAGTGCGCATGAATGCCTCGAAGCCAACAGCCCTTTACACTACGGGCGTTTCACTGCGGCCTGGCGTGTCAGTTTTAATACATTTTGATGTGAACAACGTCTCACACCACAGAATATCGGCTGTTGAAGCTAAGGCCCGCTCTGCCTAGGCAAATTACTGCATGCCTTCTTGCTCTCTTTTGTTTCTTCTCTGTTGTCTCTTCTCCTTCTACCGTTCTTCTCTCCTTCTTTTTTCTTTTCAGGCCTAGCTCGATCAGTTGCCTATCGAATTCAACGAGCGGTCTGAACGCCACTGCTGCCGATTCTTTAGTCCTTCCCGGCCGCCTTGCAGTGAATCGTTGCACCGAACAAACCCAAGCAATAACCCCTGCAATACTGATAGCTGGTGCAATACAAGTTGGGCCGTTCGTGAATGGACTACCTTCGCTGCTTCACCTCTCACCTGCTTCTCACCGACACGTCCAGCGCATTGAGAGAAGTCTTCTTGGGCTCAGGTCTGATGGCCACTGATCTTTGGGTCCACATGGCATCCCGCCTACTAAGGGGTCGGCGGCACGCGGGCGGCCGCCCGTTATATCCGGCGACGCCGTGCCGTTGACCCTATCAAGCCTAGCTTGCTATATTGTAGAGCTTCGCAGACCGGCGATGCCGGTTGGGCGCGCGTTCGCTATCGTGTTCAGTTTCTCATCTTTTTGTTGCCTTTGTACTTCTTGCTTTGCTATTAAGTTGTTGTTCCTTTCGAATGCGTCCCACGCGTGCCCCCTCGAGACCTTGTATCAAACACGTTTGAGGCGCGCGCGCAAAAAGAGACCAAGCAAAATTCCTCAGGCTGGTGGTGGAGAGGCCTTTTTAATCAGAAAAGGAAGAAAACACTGTAAATATCACTGTGTTTTGCTGCTAGAGGCTTCAAAGTGTCCCAAAGCCACGCAATTTGCGTAGTTTTTTGTGGCTTTACGCCAGGAAACCACGTGAGTGCTCAAAACCACGATATTTACAAGGTTTTCTCGAAAAAATGCGATATTTGTAGCATTTCGCGCACCGGACCCCAAAAAACGTCGATATTTACGCAGTTTTTGCAACGCTGCGACATGTTTTTTCTAGGTTGAAAGTTGTGAAAACACTGTACTTTATAGTGTTTTGCGCCTGGGCACAAACCAAAAAATGGTTTCAAAACTGTCCCTGTAAGGCCCAAATCCAGTTCCTTTCCAGATCCCAAATTTTTTGTCTAACTTGCCAGAGTTTTTTGACGACTTTTTCGACATCACAGAGTCACCAAAAAAAGGCCTCTCCCCCACCAAGCTCAAGGATTTTACTACATTTCTCGTTTTTCCGTTTTTGGAGGCGAGAGCGCAATTTTTCAAGATCGATTTCACAAAACACCGTAAGGGGGGGTCCCGGCATCGGGAGCACCCCCATGTAGCTAAAGCTAGAGGCGATCAGCTACACCATACGGAATCGCCGGATGGAGCGCGGCTTCGTCAAAAAACGTCAAAAACAGCGGAAAACGTGCACAAATTGACACTGTAAAGCTTGTAGCTTCAAAATCTCCAGAAAATAAAGCATTGAAAGTGGAGACAACTTTTGAGGACAAGTTTTGGGCGAGCATCATTAGCATCAGCAGAGTCTCAGCAGGAAAGATGCAAATCCTTTGGTGCCGACTAGGCGCAACAAATGTAAGTTACAGTGTTTTTGCACAATGTATGTAGTTTATGAACATGCCTGCTCGTACTCTGGTGATGCCAATGGTGCTCGCCACAAGTGCTACCTCAAGACTGCCTCTCCTATTTGCAAGCTTTACAGTAGCAATTTTTTTGACATTTTCCTCTATGCCACTATGCTTGATCCTTTTCAATTAAAAACATACGTGGGCGTGCGCGCGCGCTTGTGTGCGTGCGTGTGCGCGTGTGCGTGTGCGCGAGTTCGTGTGCGTTCGTGTGCGTGCGGGGGTGTGCATTTGCGTGCGTGTGTCTGAAGCTGAGGTTGTGTCGCCGGTTGGCGAAGCCTGTCAGTACATAAATATACCACATTGCACAAATGAGATGGTGTCTTTCTCTCTTGCTTTGAACTTGCAGAAGCAAAACATTGCTTGAGTGGCTGCAAACCCGCAAAGCTGACAAGCAGTTCAAAAAAAAACGAATCATTCATGTACTTAGTCGCACAATGTGTCAGCAAAAGGGAGTTGTCATTGATGTCGAGCAAGAAATCAGCTGTTGTTGTTTTTCTAATACTGTGTATATATATACATGGTTTGAATCTACACTTTGATAGACCAGCCTACCACGATACCCCTTTCTGAGCTTGCACAGCTTCCACCCCTCCACCCTTTGTCACCCATCCAGCGGTTGACATTTCGCCACTTCGTCAGCCAAAGTTCTTAACTGGGCAATCAAACCACGGTCCTTGTCAGACTCGGCATCCTGCGCAGGATCACATGAAAGTCCCCACCTCAACCTCTTGTGACACAAAATAGGGTGGTTTGGTACACAAAACACTTCACCAAGAAAAGTGTAGTCTTCAGAATGCGCTGCATATCCATTAATCATTAGTGTGCCCAGTATAGCACCAGTTCCAAAGGCCACGTGGTTCCTCGCAATCGGATTGACAAATCCCACACATCCGCAATTATCTTGGATTTGTATAAACATAACAAACCGCCAATTCTCCAGCAAGCAAAGTTGCAAGCCTGGCTTGGACCCGTGAAAGGTGTGTGTGGTCTTAAAGGACCCACCCATTGGGACCCCCAGCCCTCTAACTCACCCTGACACATGTTGATCCTTTTGATGCCACTGTTTCATCACTGTCCATTCTCCCAGCTGGTCTGCCCTTTCCGTTTCTGCCTGCGCCCCCGGCAGCTCTGCTTCATCCACTTGGCCGACGCTCAGGCGCCGGCGAGGCTTGGGCACCGGCACCTCGGAGTTCGACGAGGCGCAACCTGGGCGGCCAGAAAGGCAGGGCACTGCACTTTGCACTTCTCCAAAAGCTACTAGTAGCTACTAGGCTACTGAAGCTACTAGGTAGGAGGCCATCGCTAGTAGCAAGTTGGAGGCCATCGCCACAGTAAGTGTATAGCTTGTACGCTCAAGTAGCTACCTACGACGCACTCTCTGTTTAGGCTTCTGCAAGGTTTCCTGACAGATTTCCTTTGGCCTGGTTTTTCCCTTCTGGTTCACAGCCTGGAACTACGTGCAGTTGCTGTTGCAGTCCACTGAAAAAGAATGACTTTCGGGCTACCAATGCAGGGTGAGTAAGCTTGCCCTATCAATTCATTGGACCCTCACAGATATTGTGGTAGAGCAACCAGGCGCAGGTTCCTACAGAAAAGCACGCTTAAATGGGGAGGAAGAAGAGTGTACTCTGAGCTTGAGGGCTTTCTTGTAGTTGGTCCTTGGACATGACTTAAATCGCAGAGCACTTGCAGACAGGGAACACCCCATTGCTCAAACGCACTTTCTTTTTCTACACAGACTGAGAGAATCGACTTGCTGGAAGACGATTCTTTGAGCCAAAACAGAAACAAGCATCTGGTGAAGAGGCGGGGGACCAACATGGACAAACAATTGTCTCGAATGATGAAGACCATTGCCACCTTGGTTCGTCTGGTTCGTTCATGTAAATCTCAAAATAGAACACCAAGCACATTGCGATGACTCATCAATATCCATACGTAGACAAGGATGTCTCGGGTGGGGCCCCCAAAGCTTTGGGACTATGGCCAGCTTGGGGAAGTCGACAAGAAATGTTGTCCAGCTTGGTGTTCACTGTGTCCAAGTGAGATAGGATATGCCTCAAAAACGGGTTGCAGCGCTATCAATTGCGCGTTATTGGGGATCCCACCCGATGCCGTGCTCTCTTTGCACTGTATTTTGTGCTCATGCCATTGTGCGGAGCGGGAGCTGGGAATACGACTTGCTTACAGAGAATCCTTTGCACTGGCGACAAGCAAGGTGTCTGAATGACAAACAAGGCGTCTTAAGAACTGGAGGACAAATCCTCCATCAATGAGCTCCAGATTGATCTTCAGAACTCGAAGCAATGCCGTCCCGATGAACCAAAGGTGCCTCAGACAATAGATATTTCCGCAGCGTTGCAGTGTTAATTTCCAAAGCAGCAAAGGATTCAAGCGAAAGATTGAAAATTCTTTACATGGTGTCTGTGCGGGTTTGACGCCAGTCTTGCTGCCAAACGACCGTCGAATTGCTTCCTTTTTCACTGTGGTTCAGCTCAACCGGGCCAGTACGGCTCCACGCCTTCTAGCGGAGTTGGCCCAAAACGCGGAGTTGGTCAACTTTGGTCAACTGGCTTCGGATAGACAGTGAAGTGTCCTTTTTTCTGTGCTGACAACATGGAGGATTTCCAGCAAACACCAGTGCACCAAATTCTTCGATCTGAAGCACGAACTCCACGTTGGGAATTCGGACAAAAAATTCACAGTTGAATCCCTGCGCCACAGCGTTCTGCCCATTGGGGTCTTACCTGGCACCCCAGGGATTTGGAGATAACAGGATTGGCAAGGATGCAAGGATGACGGGATTGAAATTGTTCTTAAAGCTTCAAAGGGAGTCTTCCATGCTTTCTTCTAACTTGGCGGCTTTTCAATAAGGATCTTTCTGCATGGCTTCCATTCAGCAGACTTGTAGTTGCTGCCGATGGTAGAGCCAGCAGCGTAAGGTGGAAGTGCAAAATGAATGCTGGATTGCATGATGGGTCAACCTTCATTTCCCAATTTAGTGCTAGATTTGCCTCACGATGCGGCAATGGGATCTGACAGTGCCGGCTCTCCAGGATCCGATTCTCTCAGCATAAGAAACTTCAATCAAATCAATTGTGAAAGTTGCCATTTACACACAGAAGGCTGGAAATACCCTAGCAAAAGGATTTTACCCTACAAGTTGGAACCTGTCTTAGGTGGATCGGATCCTGAGGAAGTTGCATTTGCAAGCACGTTATATAACCGTGCACTCCATTGATGACACAACTGGAATCTGGTCAGATTGGGAAGCAGTTGACAGAAATCCATTCTGTCTTTGTCCCCATCTGATTGTTGCCTCTTGCAAATACTGAGGCAGGAAAGGGGTGCGGCCAGGCATGTCTTGAGGAAAACAAATCTATAGAATGAGTTTGAAGCATTGAAAAAACCACCTGAAGTCAACAAAGTCAGTGAGACTCTACCAACAATACACTATCACTTAACTAAACTTATAATAATGTACTTCACTTCCCAATCTAGACTCTATAGTGGAATGATTGGGAGCGCACGGAACTCCTGATTCCGGGAGCGGCGCTCGGATCCTCGCTCAGCTGTCCTGCAAACAAAGCAGCTAGGCAGCCAGGTGAGTCGTATTTTCCCTCGGGTGAAATTTCCAGCTAAAAAGCTGAACACACCGGGTAAAATAAACCACATGGCGCAGAAAATCACCGGCCTTTCTTTCCTATGTTTGGACACCCAGCCTGCATGGAGAAAATGCCATTAGCACATGGATGCGGCCGTATCTGTTCTTCATGGGCCGCATGGTACCCGTGATTCGACTGATCTTGGCACCCTTCACGGGCAGTTCCTGCAGACTGAGTTTTGGTTCATCTACAAAAAAGCAGTGATTGTGTCAGGAACACCAAAAATGTACCGAAATACCAACTTGGTAAAATAAGAATAAAAACACTTAAAGGTCCACAAAGCAGAACATCGTGAAGCAACATATCGACTTCTGAATTTTATGCAACTGTGTGTCTATCGAGTCTATCAAACCCAAAAAATAACACACTGACTCCAACCCTACTATCACTTTGCAGCTCCCAGTCGGCACCTGGAAGGCCAAAACTCGGCCATGCCTTTCCTGCTCACTTGCGTCCTCCCTTTCACAAGACTCTGCCGCCAAACCTCAGCAAATCACACCCCTCTGCGCTTGCGTAGCGGGTGGAAATGCTCGCACTGTTTGCAATTGCAGACCGGTGTGGTCATCTTGCCTCAACCACACAACACCAAGGATGAGTTTCAGGATGGAATAGGGTCTGCATGGTTTACATTGTCGCTATTCCAAGTTGCGTTCCAAAAGGAGGACAGTGTGAGGCGATGGGAAGACCTCTGTCACCGACTTGCCCACCCAGGAGGACAAAGCAGAAGAGGCCGCATGGAGCACCATGCCTGCGAACAAGTGTCCCCCCTGGCTGGAAAGATCTGTCACGCAGTGATGCATACATTTTATTGTGTATGTATAATATATATATATATATATAGGAGGGAGAGGTAGCTACTAGCTGCAAAGGTAGCTACTACCGACAGGACGCAGGATAGCTCGCGCTAATGATTTGGTTCCTAGATTTTTAAGGAAACTGGACTGTGCTACAGTAATCTAACAGCTGTTCACCTTTCCACTGGCCTTCCATGTCGATCTCCAGAGTCATCAACTTCGAATTGAAGACCTGGTTTGTGGCATAGTTTTGACTTTTGACGATGTCATCATCCTAGCCACATCCAACCAACTAAGTTACCACTAACAACGAAGGTTGCCGTTCGATTGTCATGACATTGTCATGACTCAAGACCTATGCAATCATTGAATCCAACCCGTCCTACATAAGATCTTGGCAAATGCATGCACCGTGCCAGTACTGTCATCCAAAACCAACAAAGCCCTTTGGGTGAGCGCGGAAAATCAAGAAAATGCACCGCCTGAACAATCCTATATTTTTATATATAGGGACAAGTACAGTATTATATTGATATAAGTAAGTAGTTCATTGGTTCTACTATGTTCTACCTACCTTACCCGCTGCCACTGAATCAAGGAGTTGTCCGATTGCGGAAGGAGGTCCCCTCACTCCCTAACATCTTCCCTCGCTCGGCGTTCTCTCTTTCAGGCATCCATGTGCCTCATCTTCCGCAGTCATCATGGAGTCTTGTGAACTGCGCGTGCTCCTCATTGGGCTGAGCTCTGAACCGGAGCTTCGGATGGACAACTCCGTGTGCCGAAAGGATGTCGCCTGGAGCATGTCCTGCTGTGCATGTTCATTCCCACCAGACAAAGATGTGACATCAGTGAAGTCCCTCAAGCCCACCAAGCTGTGTATTGTGCCATCATCTGTGTCAAATCTCACCTGAAACACCTCCACCTGCATCTTGCTCGCAGCGCTGTCCACCAAGCGAGTATGGAAGGCATGTGCTGTGATACAGGGCTCGCAAGGATCATCACTCTCTGATGGGATCAGCTTGGTCAAAAAGTCTCGCCCTCGAGCAGTCTCCTGAGGGTAGTAGCTATGGTAGCTAACCATTTGGTAGGCATGCCCTCAAACCTGTGTATAACCTATATACGTATACGTGAATAGGTGTCTCGTGTTTGCCGATCACCCTCCAAAGCGGCTTCATATCAACAAATACCGGCGCTGCAAGGTGCAACCGGCCTCTGGGGGCATGAACTCCATCAAGCTCCGGCCCTCCAAAGTCGCACCAGGACGATCTATGAGAAGCATCGTGGCCAACTCAGGTGAGTGTCGTGTCAATCGCTGCTTCCCATCCAGCTCGATGACAGCATCGCAGGTCAAGCGCAACAAGGAAGAGGCGGCTGAGAGCTGCTCTGCCATGTTGTCTAAGGCCAATTGACTTTCCACTCTTTGTCGAACCAAGGAATTCATGAAGATTCCGAAGGAAATCACACCGAAAAAGCTCATCACCTCAACTCCAAGTGCAATTGCTGCAGACATTCGAAGTTCAGGGGCATTCAGGTCTTCAAAACTCACCCGCAAACTGATGTTCAGCAAAGCCAGCACGTTGCAAGCGACGACCACGGAGATTCGAGAGGCCAAGAGTACTGTGGGCATCCGAATGAAGGCCAGGGCAATCAGGGAATATCGAAGGTAGAAAGTCTTGTCAATGTGCCATGGGGAAACAAAAAGTACGCAAAGGATGGAGATAAGCACGTAGAAAACATCCAACCTTGTCAAAGGAACTTTGACAGTGGTCAAAGTCAAAGCCCAAGAAATGTATAAATGTGTTCCAAGGGAAGATGAAGCGGAAAAGATCAAAGGAATGGAAAACAAACATAATTGCATATATAATACAGTTCCTGCCAAGGCTGCCAAGGTGCGTGCTGGAGCGCAGGATGGGCAAGAGCTTCGTCAAGGAAAGCAGGAGCAAGAGAGCAAAGCTTGTCCACATCTGCGGAGGTGTCATCAAATGCTTGGCAGACAAGGCTGGCAGCAAGCTGGCCAACCTTAGCAGCTCGGCAGTTGAATTCACGAAATCCTTGGTTGCTTTGAACCAAGGTCAAAGTACGCCGTACAAGTCTTCCTGCTGCGGTCTATCCATAACACGCAATAAATCTGACGAATTCGAGGGAACAAGTTGGAACGTTCCCACCCAATACCCTGTCCCACCATTCTTGCTCAAGAACTGCAGTGTGACGTTCACCGTGAAAATTTCAGCCGAGAGCAGCGTCATCAATGAATGAGAGATTCGCAACCGGAATCTCTGAACGCCTGGAAAGGTTTCCACCAAAAAATGTTTGAAATGAGTGACAAATGTCGTCCAATACCAACACAAGCCGGGTGGAAGTGGTTCGTTTCTGTGCAAGGTTCGTGGTCTGCGGGTACAAAACAAAACGGCTGAATGCGAAGTTTCCCTCATGAGAGGCTACAACATCTTTTGGGTGATGTGCAGCACAGGGGGCAACCCAGAGCTACAAGAAAGGTGATGCCTTTCAAAAGGTGCATCTGGCAACATCACTTGACGAGTTTGTCCACATGCAACAAACAGAGTGGACATTGGTTCGCTGAGCCCCACAAGTTCCCACATAATCCCAACCCCGTCCTTGATTGATCTTCTGCTCCTTCACGGTCTTTCCACAGCCCAACAAAGAATATAGTGAAGAGAGCAACTGTCGGATCTGGTTCAACAATTCCTTGCAGCCTTTCCGATAAAGAGAAACAAACAACGAGAGAAGAACCAAAACCTCGAAGGCCGCAACTACTGCCAAATAAAGCACGACGCTGACGCTCTCTTCCATGGCACCAAAAATTGATTGAACAATCAATCAAATCCAGACTAAAATATGCCCAAAAACTACAAACCGTCGGTTCTTTGTATTGTTGTTCAGACACGTGCAACGCAGAGAGCCAAAAGGAACCGGACGCATCCAGACTGCACACCATCGTTGTTGTGCAAAGTGACAAAAACTGTCAACCGGAAGCTGCGCACTCTATTTAAAGAACAAAGGGATGACAAACTCACTTTGATCACCACAAACCCAAACTCAAACACCTTGATTTTTTTCCGCACATGCAAGGGTGACGGCCCGCACCCAACTTCCAAGATTCCCACTGAACACTCCACACAAACCGCTCATGCGAGCAGATTTCAAGACTGCTGCAAACATTGACAAAGCCACACGTAGCATTCGTTGTGAGAACTGGTTCCATTTTTTCGCACTGCGCGCATTGAAGTCAGACCTCACGTCGCTAAAAGGAACAAAAGAAACAGATGTTTTGATAAAAATTTTCCACATGAAGCATGTTTGGTGCACGCATTTTCTTGAGCTGCAACACGACACTCAAAATGGTTGTTGTTCTCGAAAGCTGCCATGGAAAAAAGAGGTCCTGTCAACTTTGTCACATTGTACATGGACCGTTCCGGCTTCAAGCCCTTCAACAAAACTCTTTTGCAAATTCTGCAATGTGCATGTGCCACACTGTGTTCTATTGGTTCTGATGGTGTAAGACCACACCCATCCAACCACCATGAAGATTGTCACCAAAAGAAATCAAATCTCTTCACCGTTGCGCAGCTCAGCCAGTTCCAGGGTCCAAACTTAGATTCGACACCAAATGAAATTGTTCCAAGTGAGGGTGTTCCAAGCAGGCCCAATTTTCTCATCTGTGGGATTGTGGGAAGGGCATGAGCCTTGTCTGACGTGCATTCTTTTTCACGCCCATCTTCCATGAACAAAACATGGATCTCGAAGCCTGTGCAGTCCGCTGGCTGCCGGGACAGGTCTGCAACTTGCAGTGTGGACCAACATCCAGCCAAAACAAAACAAAAAAACAGCCCATACAGCAAAGTCTGTGAAAAAACAGTTCTATCTCAAACTGCCTCTTTGAAGCTGCTGACAACGATGACGCCGCTCCTTCAACTCCAACATCAAAACACATTATTTTTTTCAGTCATGTTGTCCGTACCCAAGATGAACTTCCGTCTTCTGGCCGCAGCGATATGACAGCTCACTAAATGTCCAGTGACATGCTTCGGTGACGAACGCGCAACTCGTTGGCATGCTTTTGTCCTCCCAAAGTTCACAACATTCAGGCCTCTCCTCCACTCTTCTTCTTCCAACCCTTTCCCACTTTCCTTCTTCCCCTTTCTTGTGAAAAGTAGCGAGCCTTACTCTTACCGGATCCGCACCGGACAAGCAACCTTTTCAAGCCAACACACACGAACACAAAAGTACGTGTTGCTAGTGTCTTTCCCTTGCTCTGCACTGTACTGCTTCTAGCTAGCCACACTTCAGCCACGTTCCTTCGCATAGTGAGTGTTTAAACACTTTCAGGTGGTAGAGGTGGCATCACCCTTATTTCTCAAGGAACCATTCGTCTTTAGTTTTGAACCTATTATATTGCAGTCTCCAAACCAGACAGGTCACACGTCATGGCTGAACATGCTCGCAACTGAGATGAAACAGTGAGCGCACGCACCTTTTTCTAGGCACAGGGGCTGCTCTCGAAGTTGGACCCGCCGACAAACGGCAGGGTTAAGCCAGAGGCGGCGAGCTTGCACACACGAAGCGGTTGAAGGTGGGCAAGCGAAAGAATCCGAAACTGCTGCGCAGACAGCGGCTCAAGTTCCTCCTACGGACAGCACGTCAAGTGGTTGCCCTTGGGTGGGTCGAAGACAAAGGGCGGGTGAAGGGCAACGACCTATCTAAGAGCTTTATTTCAAGCTCACCCACCACCCACCCTTAGAGCCCGAGCTCGTGGTCGCACGTTCAATCCTTTATGTCCACTCTCGTGTTTCCACATCTCTAAAGAGAGACGGTTGAAGACTCCTTTAATTTTCCTGCCAAAATTTTTCCATTCTGAAATAAAGTGATAATCTTTGTTCCAAAGAGTTCTCACTTATTTCTCGAGGAACCATTCGTCTTTAGTTTTGAACCCATTATTGCAGTCTCCAAACCAGACAGGTCACACGTCATGACTGAACATGCGCGCAACTGAGATGAAACAGTGACCGCGCGCACCTTTTTCTAGGCACAGGGGCTGCTCTCGAAGTTGGACCCGCCGACACCCCTGTGTCAGTCTTTTTTTTTTGCACGAGTGGAGGCGCTGTGTGTGCAGGTTATGCACAAGTCACCTTAGTCGAGTTGAGAGTGAGTTACAGATCAGGTTGCGACACAAGAGGAAAACGAACAGAGCGCCAAACAAAAACCCAAACCAAAAACACCCGCCAAAAACAAGCGCAACCTGTGAAGTAACTCAGTGGCCGTGAGGGCATGAAGAAAGGTGAAACAGGGGCGATGAATTCAGCAAAAACGCTCAGTACTTCTTGTCCTTCAACGAAGTGCACGGAGTGCATCCAACAAGGAGGCACAAGTGTAAGCGGAAAGGCACCAAGGGCAAAACATCGCAAACACGGTGTTGAGGGCCATATGCCAGTGGTAGTCACTACGAGTATTGAGCTTGGGCGGCAATGAGGACATTGGTCGAAACCTGATCCACAATTTAACATCGTCTTTTCACAGTCGTTTGATGTGTGAGTACCTAAGCGAATGCGGATACGCAAGGATACCTAGGAATGTCCCATTGTATTCAAAGTTGGGCACATTCAGGCCAGATGGCTTACTCGATGGCTGGCAGTGACAGGTATGCGGAACCAAATGAGTGGCAGCATGGGAAGACCACAGCCTTCAAGCTCGGCATTTCCAAAAAACCGAGAGTGAAAAACCATGTGAGGCCACAAAGAGGGGTTCAAGGGCAGTGGAGTGGCCCACACCGTACCTCCCCCCGAGGGGGGAGGCACTAACCAGAGCACATCAAGCAACGATGGCCCACGAACAGCTCGGCAATGGGTTCTAGACGTGACGTGCTCCAGGAGAGGGCACTCATGTCGTGGAGATGCTGCAAAAAAATCGCTTTCGGCCATCTGACTGGTTCTTTCAAACGCGGCCAGCAGAAGCAGCCGTTTCATGCAGGGCCCCATAAACTACCTGAAACTAAGAATGAGGTGAGACATGGTGAAACGCCGTTTTCCTAATGCTGTACACTGTACTCATCCAGAACCACTACACAGGTAGCAGTCTGGGACTGTCTAACTATTCAGATCAACGAAGTCGAGCTGTGCTGCACTATTGGTTGGTACTCTTAGGACCGGCACACGGGCGCTAGTCAGTACACTAGCAACAATCAGGAAAGTATGCGCTGATGCGTGCGCCATATGGTTCTATTGCTCCCTTGGCTCTGATGACTGGCACATTTACTCGAGCTCACTTCAGTGACCTATCGATGGACAGCGTTATTAGAATGAGTCCCCAATGGGTTGGCATCAGACCTAGCCTGGGCCAGTACACAGTTGCACGCAGGGACCTATGGTGGCCAAACGTGGGTCTGCACCGAACCCTACTAGAGGGTGGCAAGGGAATCATCTGCCCATTGATCCTCGTCTTCTTGCGTGCGTGGCAACCATCGAATCCAATTCGGCATATCTAAGTTATCACACCGCAGGAACGCATTCTCGCGAGAGTACGTTCCCCTCCATGTCACGCTTTTGCCGTACCTCTGGAATCGATAGAGTTGCGTGCACCCTCCGAATGCTCGTCGTGCAATGTAGAGTAGTGTGGGAGGTGCATAAATTTCTGTTAAAGACGTACAGTGAAGGAAAGCTTCCTGTCGGATCATTCGAAGTAGCCCTGGGAGTTTCAAGTTTCGTAGGTGTTTGCAGTGAGCAAAGGCACAGCTCATGATTTCTGTGATCTTAATACGCGAAAGGTCTACAAGTTGTAGCTGCATACATCGCTCACAGGCAGCTGGTCCAATCCAGGTGAAATCAGGTGGCAGGGTCAGGGAAG